CGCGCACACACACCCGCACCCGCTCCCGCTCGCCCGGGCCGCCCCGAGTCCGCGCCCACCTCGGCGCCTTTGCGCTCTGCAGCGGCGCGCCTCATCCGACGCCCCCGCCAGTCCTGCCGGAAGATGGTCAACGACCGGTGGAAGACCATGGGCGGCGCTTCCCAACTTGAGGACGGTCCGCGTGAGAAACCCCAGGTACGCGCGGGCCCGGGTGCGGTGACATGAGTCCGCACCGCTGTGGCCACTCCAGCCCAAGAGGCGAGCTCTGGCCCGGGCGTGGGGGGTACTGGAGTTTAGGGCACACCTGCCAGAGGCTGGGGTGGCCTGGCGCGGGCTCTTTGCTTTCATCCTTCCCCATCAGAGGCTTGAACTCGGGGTGCAGGGGACAGCGCCCCCCAGCAGAGATCCCAGGTCCACGTGGGGAGGGGTTTTGAGATAGACTCTCTAGTTCTTTGTGACCACAGTCAAATCACACCCCTTGCTGAACGTCTGTTTTCTCACCTCTGTGATGGACATATTGTTGCTGTTGTTATGTGCCATCAAACAACTACCACTCATGGACCCTATGAACAATGGCCCTGAACCTTGTTCTGTCCTGAGCCAACCTCACCATCTCGGACACACCTGATCCCATTGCAAGTCACTGTGTTAATCCATCTCTTTGGAGTCTTTTTTAGTCCCTGCTCTGGCAGTGACCCTGCACAAGGGCTAGGATTTGAACCCCTGGATCTTCTTGGGATCTTCATGTTTTAGCCAGTCCCCTGCATACAGAAAGCGGTCAGTAAATTGTGGATGTAACGTTCCAAGTGTGGTGATTCTCCAGCTTCCACAGTTAAAGACTGGAAGGCTCAGAGAGGGATTGGCTCCTGCCTGAGGCCACTCAGCTCTGCAGGGATTTGAACCAGGGTCTGTGCACTCAGGGGCTGCTTGTTGCACACTTCCTGCTGCTTCTTCAGGGCCAGGGGAGGAGAGCTCTGAGGGTGCCTAGGGCTGTGTCCCAGAGGCGACTAAGGGCAGAGCTCCAGAAATGGTCAGAGAGCAGGCTGGAGAAGGGACGCAATTTGGAGGGACTGCTTCGGGGCTGCCCTGGGCCAAGCATCAGGGGACTGGGGTAGGCAGGCACAATGCGGAAATCCTGTTTGCCAAGGAGAAGAAATAATGGGACTGCCCATTTTAAATTTTAAATTTCTCCCAGACAGATGTCATTGGGGAAGGAACAGTCGTGTTTGCAGCAGTAGGAGGGGGGCGGCAGGGGCAGAGCTCCCCTCCCCTTAGAAACAGCAACATGCTCAATCTTTCTGAGGTGACACTGCCATGGTGTGGGGGGGGCCCAGCCCTGTGCAGTTTGTAAAGCCCTTCCCTAGCCATCTGCACCAGTTCTTCCTAAAGCAGCCTGGGAGCTAGATCAGGATGCTCATGTCACAAACCAAAGAATAGTTGCTCAGAGATGTCAAGACATTTGCCAAAGTCACACAGCATGTTAATAAGAGAGCTATGATTCCAACCTAGGTCTGAACCACAGCCTCTCTCTATGCCTCCCAGTTCCTTCCCAGACACCCCCTTGCTAAGATCTGACCTTTCTCCTTCCTTAGCAAGAGCAGCCCCAACCCCTACACTTACTGTTCAAGGCGGTTAGTGGTGGCCTGGCCCGTTCTCCTTTCTCAATAGGCACCTTACATGTGTAGCTTCTTTGACATCCACATTGGTCTGCTCTATTTCCAGACCTTCGCTTGTCCTATTGGCTCCACCAAGCGCCCTGGTGTGTGTGTATGTGCATGTGTGTGCACACGCACACAGGGAAACCCTGCATATATTTCAAAGCCCAGCTCAAATGCAATCTCCTTGGGGAAGCCTTCCCTGATGCCCAGTGGCTGTTCTTCAAAGTCTCCTCAGCAGTTTAACCTCAGCCTTTCTCTCATGGTCTTTTCCCCTATCCATGAGCCTCCCCACCTCATCTGGAGCACCATTTGGATACACGCTTGTCTCTGGGTTCCCCCTCTCCCCAGGTCCAGGCCCCAGCCCACCACTCAGGCAGGCAGCTGGTATTTGCAGAACTGAGTTATCTGAAGCCCCAGCCAGGAGGAGCCTCAGGAGAGATATGCATGAGCCTTGCGCTGTCTGAGGGGAAGATGGGCTTTAAGGTTTCGTGGCTTTGGGGCCTCTTGGGCCAGGTTCAGCCTCTCACTGTTATTCCCAAGGGATTCCAGCTGCCACCAGGCCAGAGCCCAGGTGTCTACCTCCTGCCTTCAGAGTCATCAGATCTGTGGTCCCAGTGGCCTAGGCCAATATAAAACATCAGCCTGCCTTCTCCGCCCCTTGGTGACCCAGCATTAGACAAGTAGTCCCCTGTGCCAGCCCAGGTTTGTCTGACATTTTAGATAAGCAGGGTGGCCTTTCTCATGCTCAACATAGAGACCCCCTCTCCTGCCTTCTCCCTTCCCTCTCTTCTCGTTTCATCCCAGCCATCATTTGCTGTGTGACTATGGGTAAATTATTATGCCACCTCTCTGGGCTTGAACCTGTAAACTGAGAACAGCAAGCCATACTTCCTCTTCCCTTCACAAGGGCTCTTGAGAAAGTCAAGGGACATTCTAGTGTGTTCTGCAAACTGTGAACGCTGTGCACCTGTGAGGCAGGTGGTTCTCTGAACAAAGCAGCCCGTCACCTTTCACAGGCTGCCCAGGTCTCCCCTGCCCCACATAGGGAAAGCCATTGATCCAGCCAGCCAGCTCAGTGGAAGGACTAGGGGAGGCGCTTTACTGAGACACAACCTCGAGTGAATTAAAGGCCAGTTCCCACCCCAGGTACCAGTTGGTCACATATGCACATCTTAGTCATAGACACCCCAAGACACTGGTGGGACAATTAACCCATTTGGTAGATGAGGAGGTCAAGGCAAAGAGAGCTGGGACTGGGACCCTTATGCTTCTGTAGGGAGATGAGGCCAGAGAGGCTGGCTGTTCAGCGTGTCATGTAGTTCTCTGGGCACTCAGAGCTGCGCTGCCAAAGACGGGCCCACCCCTGCCCTTTCTGCCCACCCTGTCCATCCTTACCCTGCCCTCACACAGTGGCTTGGACCAGTTACCGGACTTTGTTCAAGTCTCTTCACCCACAGAAAGAAGGCACTCTCACTCCCTTGGGCAGAAGATGACAATGAAGTGATATTTGCCAGTAGTTTGGAGTTGCTTAAATGAAAGACTCTAGAAATAGACCTCATTTAGTCAGCACGCAAACTTGGCCCCCAGGGCCATCTTGTTTCCAGCAGGCCTCAGTCCACGTAGCGCCACAGAAAGCTGACCTCAACGGTCCAAGACCACCCATCTCAAGCAGCGTGTCCTCTGATGTTCGTCCTGATGTCCAGCCTGAATCCTGCACACATTTCATTCACTCAGCTATTTATAGAGTCCCTACCTCGAGCTAGGAGAGACAGCCATGAACCTGGTGGATATGACTGTGCTTTAAGAAGCTCATAATCTCGTGGGGGAAACAAAACGGGCTCACCAGTCAGGTGTTGTTACAAACTGTGATGGGTGCTATAAAGAAAAGATAGACTCCTGCTTCCTCCTGGTGCCACTGGCTTGCAGCGAGGTCACGAAATAGTCATAACATTAGGAAAGAGACCTTTGAGGGATTATAAGCCAAGAACTCTCTCTTCGCTCATTGTTTCTCGAGTATCTAGCTCGCTGGTGAGGCAGTGACAGGGAGGCTAGAAGCCCAGCTGGGGTGCAGGGAGTACAGACAGCAACCTGGAAGAGGTGATTTTTTATGAGTCGTGTTAAGTAGACAGGTCCCCAAGGAGGGACTAGCATGTCCCACATGTGTATTTGAAGGAGATCTGGTGACCCAGACAGAACAAAGCAGGGGTGGAGGAGGGTAAGTTTGAAAATGGTGAGGCCTAGGTTGGGGAAACTGAGGTACCTTAAGCCTAGAGGACAAGCAAAACGTGCTCCTGAGACCTTGGTAGCCCAGGTAGGGAGGGGTATTTAAGCTGGGCCGTGTCTGATCTGCTTGGCCTTTGGAAAAGGCCTTGGCTGCACTTCGGAGAGGGCTGTAGGAAGTCAGTGAGGCCCACTGACAAGATTTAAGGACAGGCAATAGGGCCTGACTAGTGCAGGAGCTGGGGACACAGGGACATGTGGGACAAGGATGGAGGAGGTGGAGAGCACAGAGCCAGGCGACTGGTTGGGCATGAAGGGTGAGGAGGGAGTCAAGGAGATGCTGCCTTTGGAAGGGCAGCTGCTGCGTGTGGGACACCCCTAGATTAGGAAATTCTGGAGCCCAGGTTTGGGTGAAGAGATGGCTGATTTGTGGTATGAGATCTGCAGCGTTGTCCAGGAAGCTGTATGCTATCCTGTAGGAGTGAGGGGACCCTCGCAGCCAACAAGAACCACTCCCCGCCCCAGTTTCACCCAGAGCTGAGTACCTCCTGGAGAGTAGGAGAGCTCAGGGCACGTGGAGCTGCTAAGTTTAAAGGCTCCTCAAATCCTGTGTTTTTGTTCCCTTGGACACCTCCAGCCATTTCTCCCTGGATTTATCATGAAACCTGAGGCTTCACTCACCCCTAGGTATTTAAAAGACCCAATAGAACAGGCGCTGTTATTCAAATGACTGCAGACCTCCCCCCTCACTCCCTAGGACTCCAGGATTTTGAGCTGAACAACCAGCTCCTCCTTCTCTGGGATCCTACTGGACTCCTACTGGGCCCAGCAGCTCAGAGTTCAACCAGGTTTGAGGGAGGCGTGACAGGGATTCCCTGAGGCAATGGATGGGAGCAAACTTATAGAGCCTGCCCTCCCACCTGACCCCAAAGGCCATTGCCTTCATCTCTGTGCCACAGCCCCTGCCTGGCCCCCTTGGTTTTACAGCCCAAAGCCCCGATATAAATTTGTCAGATATCTGTCCTGCCATGGCTAGGACAGTCCTGGGAATAAGATGAGGGCATGTGCAGATCAGCCCTCACTTGTATCAAACCTTTCCTGACCTCCTCCTCAAGACCAGTGGGAGTAGGAGACTTTTTTATTCCCCCTGTAAAGCAAAGAGTGTGATCTTTCAGTCCATCCAAGGTAATACTACTGCCCAGCTTCCCAAGAAAACAAGGGAGAAAGGGAGGGTGTAAGGCTGAGTAGGATTATCTAGCTGGCACTTTGGCAAGAGTCTCTGCCTCCTGCACGCTACTCTCCTTTGCCAGATCCTCA